ATTGGCATTGGAAATGGATTGCTTGCAGGTTCATCAGATATTGGACTTTGACAAGAATGATCGATCTTATTTTGGTATAATGATAGCTGATTGTAAAACTCTTTTTAAAGAGTTTATTTCTTTGCCTTTTAATGTTATTAAAAAATCAACGAATCTGGTCGCTCATATATTAGCAAGAGGTACAGGTTCTATTCATGATCTAATGGAGTGAACTATAAACCCTCCATCTCTTATTCAAGATGTATTGCTTTCTGAGTCCAATAATAACTAAGCCATTTTCAGTTTTAAATAAATAAATGTTGAATAGTACAAAAAAAAGAGAGATTTAGTAGTGGAAAAGTCCATTGCTAATTTAATAAATTTCGTTGCTAATCTTAATTTAGCAACAAATTAGCAATATATCATATTCCTCTCAGAATATCGCCTTTCTATATATTAACCCCGATCAGCAACTTGTTGCTAAATTAGCCACAAATAATTCCTTTGCTATTTCGAATCCTTTCCATTGCTAAAAGCATGTCTATTTGGGTACCAATTTTATTGCCAATGTGTGTCTAATCTGTTGCTAAATTCTTTATTAATCTCTATCTAATTCCATCGCTAAATCTCTTGCTAATTCCTGCTTGAATCCTTAGCCAATTATAATTCTAGATGAAAATTCGTTTCTATCTCCATTGCTAATCGTTACTAATTCAAATCCCTTCCCAATTTGGTTACTAAATTCATGGCTTATCTGTAATTAATATATAGTTAAAGTCATGGCTGACTTCAATCTCTTGCTAAGTCCGTTGTTAATTCCATTGAATTATTGAAATCTCTAGCTAATCATTGCTAAATCCATTGCTATTTGTAATCCCTTACTAAAATGGTTGTCAATGCTATTGAAATATTGTTGAAATACTTAACTAATATGTTGCAAAATCTGTTGTTGTTTATAGTCCCTTGCTAAACCATTACTATATATACCAAAATATTGTTGAAATCTGTATGTAATATGTTGCTATATCGGTTGCTATTTTAAAATCCCTTGCTAAATCTATTGCTAGATTTAAAAATAATGTATTAATATCCGCAATTAATTTACCATTAAACCCATTTCTAAATTTGCAATTTATTTACATAATTCTCTGTTGATTTGGTATTAAAAAGGAAGAATAAAATATAAAAGTCAGACATTAATAAAATATAATTATATTAAACATAAATATTTCTTTAATTCAAAGATTAATCTAAATAAGAAATATAATTTATGTATAATTCACCTAGAGTCAACATAGATTATAATCATCATCGTTAAAGGTGTGCATGGGACGATCTTGACCCGTTTTCAAAAACTATTCTGAAGTTTTCGTCCTGAAAAGTATCTGATATTAATTTAATAGTCTCATCCAAATACCCTTCGAAAGTAATAATAGGATGTAACTGGTTCTTTTGATTAAAATGAACATGTACCGATCCAAGTTCCATCCTATTTTTCTTTAAAATTTTAGATGTTTCTTTTTTTTATGATTTTTAAATCATATTCATGAAATCATTTCATCCATTTTATTTTATTTTTTTACATGAGTTACTTGTTGAGGTAATAATAATATGAAAAATATAATATACATTTTTCTAAATATAAAATGAATCGATTAATTAAATTTATAAGTTTTTTCTTTATGATTTTACTATATGTATTAAGTAAATTTTTCTAAATAAAATTTTCTATTAAATAAAAAATAGAAAGATTAATTATACATGGCAAAACATTAATTATAATTAATTTTAGATTATTGGTTATACTTAATGCTATCACTATTTACTTTTAGATAATATTCAAGATTAAATCAAGAAAGTATCAAATTTAAGTCAACTTTAAGGCAATAATAATAAAACAATAATGAGTTAAAATTCATAAAATACCTATAAAGTTAAATTATATACAATTTTTAAATTATTTTATTTTATTGTAATTAATGCTCTTATTGAATAAAAGTTAAGTACTAATAAATCTTCTGTTATAATTTTGATAGTAGACCATGAATGATTAAATTAGTTATTTGATTTATTCTTTTTATATTAACTCAAATTTATATCGATGAATTTTGTTTAACTGTAATTGATGAGTATAGCAATTTTATATTTTTTGGTAAAAAAAAATTCAGTAAGACTATAGAAAATCCTAATTAATTCCCGATCTGATCAATCCCATCCTGTCCTATTGACCCGAATTCTCGTCCAATATCCGGCCGAAAGATAGGACGGAACTATATACCTACTGGGACGGGAATAAAACTCTTTTTTTTTTATATATATTCTGATATTTTGGAATGAGACTGAGAATTATGTAATTTCCATCCGACCCATGCACACCCCTAATCATCATCATCCTATTTAAATAAAAATATTAACGATTAAATATTATTAACCATTTAATTATTTGTTTACTTATACCTACGAAAACTCTAGCTAAAAAACTATGATATTGATATATTATAAATTAAAATATAGAAGTTTTATCAAATTTTAATTGGGAATTAAAACCTATTGTTGAGGTTTTATCATATATATAATATAGTACATAAAAAATTCACAAATAAATTTTATTTGTTTTGACTATCAAATAAATTTTATTTTCTTTAGCTATCGAGAATTTGTTTAATTTTGGCATCTTAACGAACATATTTTCTTTTAGGTATTTTTATTATTTGAATAAAAGGAAAATATTAAAAAATACAATATTAATTTAAAATAAGAATAATTATCCAAGTATGAATTTTTACGTTAATTAAAAATTTTTAACTCAATTAGAAATTTAATATTTTAACTTAATTAGACATTTCAATTAAGTACTTAATTAAATTAGTAAAATTATTTTAAATCATTAGTTAATGTACTGTATAAAAAGAATTTTTCAAACAATTTTTTATCTGTTGTTGCAATTGAATTGTACAGTGAGTAACTATAAGTTTGAAAGCAAGTTGATATAATTGTATAGATATAATTAAGCACAGTAAGCTATGTAAATGTATTAGATGAAAAATTTTTAGGCTTTTAAGTCAAGTTGAACTTTTCTTCATTAGTAGTTACAACTATAGAAATCCTAATATTTTTGTAAAATAAATCAAAAAATATCCTTAAAAATATATTCCAAACTCTTTTCATTTTCTATTTTATACTATTTCTCTCCTTTTATCAATTAATATTTTCATTTATAGTACGAGATATGTTTAGCTGTTTCAGATGAATTACGTTTTCTAAAAAAAAATATTATATTAAAATATTTTAAAAAAATAAAAAGCAAAAATATTTAATTTTAAATTTATTCGAAACATGAAATATGAAATTTTAATTAAATTTATACTATTTGTTTTTCCAATTCTAAATTCAGGCTACAAAATTCTATCTCATATGCCGTTGCACTTTGGACCCCACCAAGCTGCTTGTTGTGAGAGAGGGAGATCCACTGGTTCCCACAACATACACGGTGTTTAGTTTGTTATAAGAGAAAATAATTATTTAATCCTTCGAATTTACCGTAATTATCTAAATAGTCTTTAATATTTTATATAATATTTAAGTTATCCTTGCATTTTTTTTAAATCTAATAAAATGATGTATCCATCTAGTTTTGATTGTTTTTACTTTTTGAGCGAGGCAAAAAGACAAAAACATCATTCCTTAAAATATTTCCAAGTTGGTTAGAAGCTTTCCAAAAAATATATTACATACATTAATCATTAATAAAAAAACATAATTAATCAAAATACATTAATCATTAATCAAGCTTGGTGTAACCTGCTCTTCTGAGAACTTAAAACAACAAGAAATAATGAATCAATAGAGCTTGATGGAATAAAAATGCATCCTTAACAAAGAAATATAATAGAATTAACATCAAAATCTCAGCTTTAAAGTAAATTATGAATCTAATAGACAAAAATTGAGTAGTGGGTTCTTGTACATGTCAAAGAAATGGAAAAATAATGGTGGGTAAGTCATGAAAGGATTAGCAAGAAGAGAGATAGAAGAACTTTCATTCAAGCAATACATCAAATGGCCAGCGTGCTTTAAGCAAAATTTTTCATCAACAAAACCCCTTCTTTGGAAATCAAGAGAAATAAGAAAGGCTAAAATCAAATCAAAATCTAAAAATCCAAACTCCAAAAATAAAAATAGTCTTTTAAATTCTTAGAATTCAAGTCTAGTAACTTCAAAATACAAGAAAAATAAGAATCAAAATGCATATAATTCAATTCCAAACTTAAGCAAATGAAGTTGTTTCCAGCTCAATCAAAATATTAAAAAAGAGGGAAAAAAAAGAGAGAGAAAAAGTAGAGACAGAGAGAAAGATAAACATACATACTAGGATTATTCACAAAGAAAAAACGAAGAGAGAACAATAATGAAATTAAGGAAACCATAACAAAGTAGTAGATTCTGCTATTGTCGGTAGATGCTCTGCTGAAGAGAAGGCGAAGGTACGAGATGAGAAAAGGAAAGAGAATGAGGAAATGGAGTTTGAGGTAGAGATTTGGGAGGTAGTACTAGTTGGAGAGACTCTAAGATGGTGGAGGCTTTGATTAGAGATTGATAGGTGGTGGTAATGGCAGAGGAACTGCAAGGATAGATGGTGGTGGTGGAGAGCTTTAATGAATACATGTTGGTTTTTTTGCAAGGGCATAAATTGTCATTTGAAAGAACTTATCTCACCTCTCTCTTTAATTTTGCCTCACTTTAATGGCAAAAACAATTAAAATTGAATAATTAGACGGAGATATATGTGAGAGCTGACTTAATATTATATAAAACGTTGGAGACTATTTAGAGAATTACCGTAAACATGAAGGACTAAATAATTATTTTCCCTTGTTATAATTTATTGACCAACGGTAGACCAACAAAGGAAAAGAATGAAACAGAGAAAAACGGCCTTCCGATCATTTCCCCATTGAGAAGCGCTCAATGTAAAAAAACTTCCCTTCCTTCCCTTCCCCTTTCCTTTGTTCCTCGACAACACCGGATCCGGATCACCACTCCTCTCTCTCTTTCTATCTCCATTTCATCATCCTCTCATGTCTCGCCACGTGTCTCCTAAATAGCAGTACGGACATCCCTCCCTTCTCTCTGCTTCTGCTTAGTTCTTTCTTTTCCTTAGTCTCTGTTTCCCTCCTCCCGCTCGTCTAAACAAACAGACCGTCACACTTCTCTCTCTGTCTCTTTCTCTAGGAGAGATTTATTTCTCTCTACTTGGCCCTCTCCCAATTTTTATTCGGCTATTGTCTCTCTTCGTGAAAGGTTCTCTTTCTCTGATTCTTTTTCTTTTCTTACTCTTTTTTTCTCGAGAAAATCTTTCAATTCTTATTTCTTTTCTGTGATCTTTCAATTCTTATTCAACAGGCGAAGGCAATATCAGTCGCCACTTCTCTTTCTAATTGGATAAGAACAACTTGTAAGCTCGCACATTTATCGACTTCTTTTCATTCTTTTATTTAATCTTTTTGTTTTTCGCATGGCTGTGTTTGGTTGCATAGAAAAACTGCTGGAGAATATTGAAATTCCAGATTTGGTTTTTCTATAATGCTTCTTTTCTTCTGTTTAATAAAAATAATTTTGCAGTTTATTAATTTCCTGCAGTTTCTTGGCTACCAAACAAGCTATTACCCTGCGTGCACTGGAAACGGGTTGGCGATGTTCTTTCAGAATTTATTTTATTTCTGCCTGTTTGGTTCGCGAGAAATCAGAGATGACTGGAAAAAAAAATATAAAAACAGAGCGTTTGTCATGGAATTAAATTGAAAAATAGACGAAACACAAACATATATAAAATTGCAAAGAAATTCACTTATTTCTGTTATTTCTGGATATGATAAACATAAATTGGAGAAAGCAATTACAAGAAGAACTTGTTTCCTACTCGAAAATTGATCTTGTAATCGATTTTCTCTGCCAGGCTATTCACGTAGATTGGCGACCAGCTAGAGTAAATACATAAATACGTGGCGAGCAAGCTAGAGTAGCAGAGAGAGCTAGCTTCTAAGCTAGAACTTGTTTTATCATCAATGTCGGGTCTAGACTCAGGCCAACATTTGCTGACGCGGCGGCCATCGCGCAGTGCCACCACGACCACGTTCTCCACTGAGGTCTTCGACAATGAGGTCGTTCCTTCCTCCCTCGGGTCCATTACTCCAATCCTCCGCATTGCCAATGAGATCGAGCATGAACGTCCTCGCGTCGCTTATCTCTGTTCGTACCTCTTGCCTTTTTTCTTTTTCACTTTGTCGTTTTCAACACCTTTTTTAATTATTAAATTAAAATTTATTAAAAGATTTAATTAAAAGATTAGTTTTGTTAATTTCTTACTTTCTGTTTGGAATAGGTCGGTTTTATGCGTTTGAGAAGGCGCATAGGTTGGACGCGAACTCTAGTGGACGGGGTGTGAGGCAGTTCAAGACTTATTTGCTGCAAAGATTAGAGAGGGTAATTTTCTAAACCAGTTATTGCCTTATTTATTTATGTGTTAGTTTCTTATCAATAATCTGTGATTAAAGAGAATAACTATGGTCATTCTGATGATATAGAATTTAATTTAATTTAATGGTCCAAATTCACCAAAAGTCTTGGTACTAAATGGAAGTTTCCATCATTGCTACATTTTTTATAATAATTTAGCGTAGAAATCTTTAATTAATTTATAATCTTTGGAGAGTATTATATGTTTGAATAATGCTAAATTCGCTTATGAACTAAATGATAGTATAGATTTTGACTAAAAATCAATTTTTTAGCGAATCATGTGTGGTTTGAGTGATTTTCACAATATGAAAAAGTCTCAAATTATCGTGAATTTGATGAAGAGGACGCTACACCTCCTTACCGAGTACCTCATTAATTTTTGGAATAATTATCATCTTAACTTTACACCAAATGATTAAAAAATCTAATTTTTACCAAAATTAAAATAAAATAATTATTTAATATTTTTATCTTCTTAATTTAATAAAATAAAAAACATCTAAAACCATTTCATATTTTTAGTTAATAATTTTTATTAGTTAAAAATAAGAAAAATTGTTATTTTTATTTTATCTTTGATAAAGAAAATTTAATAGTGCAAAATTGAAGGGTAATTATTTATAAAATTGATTTCTGAGTAAACTTTATGGTTTATTGACCTTAGGTAAGTTTTATTCTAGAGGGCGGTGGCGATGCTCATGGTCACGGAGAAAGGTTGAAAATAGGGTTGTACAAAACTACCGACCAAACCAAATTGAAAATCGAATGGATCCATTTTAATTAGGTTCCATTCGGTCAGATGTTTAAGAGAAATTCGGTTAATCGATTCATTTGGTTTGAACTAAATTTATTGTTCAGTTCGAGTCAGTTGTGCAAAAATTTATCCGTTGAATTTAAAATCAAACTGAAACGGCCAAAACCGGCTGGTTCAGTCTGTTATGAAAAAAGTTCACTTTTTATTTTAAAGCCTCGGTTCGGTTTGGTTCGGTTTGAACGGAACCGACCCTTTTGCTTACCCCTTCACTTCTGAAAATGTGAAGCCCACAAATAAAAGATACGCTTGCCAAAATAACTAACCACTGACCATAAAAAAGAAAAAATAAAAGCCCGTCAAGCTTTTTCTTTTTCTTCTTCTTCTTTTTTTTTTTTTTGGAGAGTAAACTCGCCAGGCTTTTCTATTAAGATACGCTTTCCTTTCTATTAATAAACGCATTAATGAAGAATTTTGCTACGATTTTATTTTTTTTATAATAAATTATATTTATATATTTCCCACCCAAAGGTAGAAGCAAACTTGATTTTGTAGTGAACATGTTAATACAAAGGAGCCATAAAATTTTATGTATATTCATTTGAAATACATTGAAAATTTTATATTGTTAATTTTATATATTATAAATTGATGTTAACCAAATTTAAAAGAGTGGATAAAATTTGTGAAGAACTTTAGATGATTGACCAAATAGCGGTGGTCGTTTCTGATAATTGAAAGTTGGTAGTTCATGATGCCTGCGTTGCATCCATTTGTGTTTTTCTTCTTATTTTTGTTTACTACAAAAGGCAACTCCAATTGGTTCAGTTTTTGTTTCAAAGGATCGTTCCGATTCTCACGTTTGTCTGTAACATTAGGGAAACTGATGTGAAATTCTGTTCAGGACAATGCTTCCAGTCTTGCCTCTCGGGTTAAAAAGACTGATGCGCGAGAAATTGAGAGCTTTTATCAGCAGTACTATGAACACTATGTTAGAGCACTGGACAAGGGAGATCAGGCAGACAGGTAATCACATAATTGTTGCGTTTCCCTTTTTCATCTGTGTTTTTATGTGAATTGAACCTTTCATTCCTATTTTCTTCGCAGAGCTCAACTTGGCAAAGCCTATCAGACTGCGGGAGTTCTTTTTGAAGTGCTTTGCGCTGTCAACAAGTCAGAGAAAGTTGAAGAAGTTGCTCCTGAGGTTAATTCATTTACATTCTTTCCATTCTAGGTTGTTGTGCTGGTGGCCTTCTGCTATGTTTATCATTTTCTTTGCCATGTTAATGTTCAATGAACTATGGTATTTATAATTATTTTGCCGAGCAGATTATTGCAGCGGCTAGAGATGTCCAAGAAAAGAAGGAAATCTATGCACCATACAACATTCTTCCCCTGGATTCTGCTGGGGCTTCGCAGTCTATTATGCAACTTGAGGAGGTAAGCCAGCAAACATCTCCCTCGTTCTGCTGATGTGTGCCATTCTTGTATTATCTTGATTCTATCTTGTTTGATATGTTGCTTAAGCATTCCCTGATATTCTATGCCAGGTCAAGGCTGCTGTTGCTGCATTGTGGAACACTCGTGGCTTGAGCTGGCCTACAGCATTTGAGCAGCACAGGCAAAAAGCTGGGGATCTAGATCTTCTCGATTGGCTAAGAGCCATGTTTGGCTTCCAGGCATGCTTTTGACCAGCAAAATAAATGAATGCAACAAATAAGCAAAAGAAATCTTCACATCTTACAATTTCTTAATGATCTTTAGAAGTAACTAAAGAGTCTATATATTGTGGTTGCAGAGAGACAATGTCAGGAACCAGAGGGAGCATTTAATTCTACTACTTGCTGACAATCATATAAGGCTTAATCCCAAGCCAGAACCTCTTAATCAGGCATTTACTGATTTTTCGTTTTAATTTTTATTGTTTTGTGCACTTTACATATTGTTATGCGCTCTATTTATGGTTGGAGCATCCAAGATGTAAGCATTTTTAGATGTTTGTTCTGTTGAATTTGGAGTCTTGATCTGAAGAGATCATATCATGTGTAAATATCATTTAAACAACTTGTCAAACTTTCTACTCAATTTTCACCTCCTTTTTACCTTAAGGAATTTTCATTAAATATGTTGTTCTTTTTTCACCTCCTTTTTCCCTAAGGAATTTTCGTTAAATATGTTGTTCTTTTCTTCTTGGTTGCATATATTCTTTATGAGCATGTTTTCACTGCATAGTGCCTTTACTGATTGAGGCATGGTTAAAACCTTTCTCATATGCAGCTTGATGAACGAGCTGCTGATGCTGTCATGGGCAAGCTTTTTAAGAATTACAAAAATTGGTGCAAGTTTTTAGGGCGAAAACACAGTTTACGGTAAGATATAAGAAATTTTGGTTCTGTTTTTATTTTTGTGTTTTCAAAGACTTCATAATCTTAAACTTCTTTACAATGATTTAGAACTCATAACATGAGCATCTACGTGTCATTTTTTATAGTCTCCCTCAAGGACAACAAGAAATACAACAGAGAAAGATTCTATATATGGGCCTATATCTTCTCATCTGGGGTGAAGCAGCCAACGTTCGCTTCATGCCAGAATGTCTATGCTATATTTTTCACAATGTAAGTGCTCATATTGCCATCAGAGGACTCCTCTCTTCACACTTTAATTTACTGATCAGTGTTCATAGTAAGTAGTGTATCTTCTGATATATTAATAGTATAGTATTAATAAATCTTCAGATGGCATATGAACTTCATGGTCTGTTGGCTGGAAATGTTAGCATTGTTACTGGAGAAAATATCAAGCCTTCTTATGGCGGAGATGACGAGGCATTCCTGAGGAAGGTCATAACACCTATATATCGTGTAATTCAGAAGGTATGTTGTAGATACTTGTAATACTAGTTTGCACACTGTTGTCAAAATTCAAGTCTTTCTGTTCTGAAAATAAAAGTCACGCTTTAATTATTTCAGGAAGCCAGTAAGAGCCAAAATGGAAAAGCTTCACATGCAAAGTGGTGCAATTATGATGATCTGAATGAGTATTTCTGGTTAGTTTGGATTTATATCAGAGTTCTCATTGATAATCGAAATTCATTAGTTTTTAATTTACTTTATACTGGTAACTACTTGGTTGTGCAATATGCTATTCAGGTCAACTGAATGCTTCTCCCTTGGCTGGCCTATGCGTGATGATGGAGCTTTTTTTAAATCAACACAAGAACTGGCAAAGGTAATCTTAACATTCTGAACAGATTTCAACGTTCAACACCTTTCTTGAATTGACTTTAGGCCTTTGCTTAATATAATTTACTATTTCAGGGAAGAAAAGCTTCTCCAAGAAAATCAGGAAGCACAGGCAAATCATATTTTATTGAAACCAGAACCTTTTGGCACATCTTTCGAAGTTTTGATCGATTATGGACTTTTTACATACTAGCACTTCAGGTATTTATGGACTGTTTACATATAGCACTTCAGGTATTCAATCTGACAGAATGGATAACTTAGTTTGTGTCGCTTTGCCAATGGTTTTGGACACTGGGGGAAATTAATGTGTGAACTGTTTATTGCAGGCAATGGTCATCTTTGCTTGGAGTGGGGCCTCAGTTGCAGAAATTCTACGGAAGAATGTCTTATATCGCCTATCCAGCATCTTCATTACAGCAGCCTTTCTTCGCTTTCTTCAGAGTAAGAGATTCTTATTTGATACTCCCCTGTTCTAGCACTGTTCATCCTTTTATCTTCCTTGCATTAACTGGACATCTAATCAATGTAATTTCTCTCGTTGTAACCATGCAAACTGCACTCTATTTCTTCTGAAAAGCTGGACCAATAATTCAGCCTGAGGTGAATAGCTGAGATGCGTGTTTTATATTCTATTTGCTGCAAGTTTCATACTGCATTGATTTATTTCTTTTTCCAGTTTTTTTATGTTTGGTAGCTATTTAGAATTGAATAATTTGTCATTGGGCATGAGAGACACCAAAATTAGCTAATAACATTGACAAAAATATGATACTTTTCTGGACTCTTTTGTTAATTTGAGCTATAATATCCAATTTATTTGTTTTCTGGCCTTGGTTCAGCAACCTGATTTAGTTCTGCTGAACGATTACTGCTATCTCAAGTCTACTTTTCCTCTAAATTCTGTCTTGTTTTTCTTTTCAGGTATTCTGGATCTTGTTCTCAACTTTCCTGGGTTCCATAGATGGAAATTCACAGATGTATTGCGAAACATTCTCAAGATAATTGTCAGTCTTGCGTGGCTTATTATTCTTCCACTGTGTTATGTAGAGGCCTTCAATATGTCCCGTAAAACAATAAAAAATTCATTATCATTCCTTCCTACAGTAAAGGCCATTCCTCCTTTATACATTGTAGCTGTGGTTCTATATTTGATTCCAAATATTCTGGCTGCTGTTTTGTTTATCTTTCCCATGTTCCGAAGATGGATTGAAAACTCAGACTGGCTTGTTATTAGATTCCTCCTGTGGTGGTCACAGGTACATATCTGAACCTGTTTCTCTTGTCCCATCCTTACTATAACTTTTTGATGTTCTAATTTGGTACGAAAGCAGGGAGGTCTATTTGGAAGAGAAGCTAAAATTAGCTACAAGAACACCCCCTTAAGTCCTCCATCCACCTCCTCTATTTGTTGTTTGAACATTTACGTAATTGAAAAACAAAACTTGATTGTGTATGAAATGGAGAAAAATATATTTTTCTGTTTTCTGATCTAAGAAGATTTATTGGAAGTCGATCATGAACATTTTAGTAAGAAAATGAACTCACGTAGCAGCATTAATCAGCATTGAACTGCTTGCTGAGAAATGAACTCACAAAGCATTAATCAGTATTGAACTTCTTGCCCAGCTTTTGTGCACCACTGACAAATAAGAGTTTATCCCATGTATTTAGAACCTGTGTCTCTTAGGCTAAGTTCCAAATGGACAATGGTGACGAGACCAAAAAGTTGCCAAAGATAAAAGGGAATGCAGAAAAATTGGATTGCTTCTACTTAATACATTTTTGTTTTCAATCTTAGTAAGAATAGCACTTGCTTGTGTGTCATCATGTTCTTTAACCAACAGTGTTTCTTGCTGTTTTAACCTTCTAATTGCAATTATAGCTGTCTTGTGAGCTAATATCAGTATTTATTCTTCCAACTTAAGGATGATACTTACTCATTGTTGTACTTTAATTATGGAGGCTGGCATGGTACAATTTCCAAGTCAATAAACTATATTAATATATAATGATAATCAGCAAATTGTAATGCAAAATAAGTTTCATGTTTAGCCACTAAAAATTGCTTAAGCTTAAATATGGTGTAAGCTATTAGAATAGAAGATTTAATGCTTTCAAAGGAATGCATTCTATTTTAGCTAGTGTATCTCACAGACGCATAAAAGAATAGCTTCAATCTGTCTGTTAATTACTGTCTGACTATTTACAGGATGCAGTTTTAGTTGAATAATAAACTTAAATAATTTATTTTCTTAAAAAGAGTTTGAACCTTCACCCTTTAGCTTCTCTCTCTCTCTCTCTCTCTCTCTCTCTCTCTCTTCCTTTTAATACAATTATCTTAAAACAATTATTGTATATTTCCAAATTTCTAAGATAGAAGGAAGGAAATGTAATGTTTTCTCTTGATTTTAACTTTGTTTCAGCCAAGAATTTATGTTGGGAGGGGAATGCATGAAAGCCAATTTGCACTTATAAAGTAAGTTTGAAGTGTTCATGATAGTATGATGCAAAATTGTATGTATTCATGAACTTCTTTGGTCAAAATTTGCTTCATTGCACAAATCTGCCTTTTGATTTCAGGTATACCTTTTTCTGGGTGCTACTTTTGTGTTCAAAATTTTCATTCAGCTATTTTGTCCAGGTTGGCTTCAGTCGTTATGGTTATCATGTCATCATCATTTTTTATTACTATGAAAAGTAGATCGAAGACACTGTTTGGTTTACCTTTGACCTTATTGCCTGTTTCTCCAGATAAAACCTTTAGTGAAGCCAACTAAAGATATAATGAACATTAAGCATGTAGATTACACGTGGCATGAATTTTTCCCAAATGGTATTTGGCTGCTCTTTTTTACTTCCTTTTAAACTTTTTAACTCAATTTTCAATTTAATTATTATCTTGTGAATGCAGCTAAACACAATTATGGAGCAGTTTTGTCACTCTGGGCACCAGTAATCTTGGTGTGTCTCCTGCTACAGCACTCCATTGTTTTGTTTAATAATGTTGAATTTTTCTCATTTGCAAGGGAAGAAATATTGCAACTTCCGTGGTGATATATCTGCCATGTAATGCAGGTTTATTTTATGGATACCCAAATTTGGTACGCTGTTTTCTCAACCATATATGGTGGAATTCTTGGAGCTTTTGATCGCCTAGGAGAGGTAATTCCTATCAAATAATTCTTTTGTTTGTTCTTTTAAATTTGTGTTTAAAGTCATGAACCATTGTAAATTATATGGAACGAATTCTTTGGATATATTTATCATGCTTCCATATGATACATGCGTTTTCAGAAGTTTCGGTTTGTCTCCGAGTCCTTAAACTAAAAGTTGCAAATATGAATTCCGCTCAATATATATTTTGGAGTTGTACAGTAGAGCATACTGTCTAGTTATTTTCTTCATTTCCGATATTAAAATCATTTCCAGTTCACCATTGGTTGTTCAATCAACCTTATTTAATCTTAGCTGAGTAATTTAGCTTCTAAGAGTTCAAATACCAATTCATTTTGTTTTCAATTGGGAGTGGCTTTTCATAATTGTGCCTAACAATGACTAAATATTTGCTATCCATTCAATGGGAGTTTAACTCAAAAGCTTTGAATCGGAATTGCAATATCAAACAATTGGGTGTTCCTGTGGGTAAATACTGGGGCAAAATTATGTCTGTGAAATGACTCCCCTGCGTGGCTTGCTTGTTGTTCTGTCCATGGGACATGGCACGTGTTGTGTTAATTTCCTTCTTTTCTGTTTTTCCCCTTGAAGATACGAACTCTAGGCATGCTAAGATCTCGCTTCCAGTCCTTACCTGGTGCATTTAACACATATTTGGTGCCTTCAGACAAGACAAAGAAGAAGGGTTTCTCTTTTTCAAGGAGATTTGCTGAGGTTTGAACTCATGCTTTCAAGTGTTTAATGTAGCCTTTATGGTCATATCTCACGCTTCAATTTCTATAAATTTATGCCTGTCTAGGTTCCAGCGAGCAGGAGAAGTGAAGCAGCAAAATTTGCTCAGTTATGGAATGAAGTGATATGTAGTTTCCGTGAAGAAGATATTATCAGTGACAGGAAAGACCCCCAAAACAAAGATATATTGTTCATTTCCACAGCCAACATATTGTTCATTTCATTTTTTTCAGATGTAAAGACTAATATGATTATTCTCCTAATCCAGGGAGATGGATCTGTTGCTAGTTCCTTATTCATCAGATCCTAGCCTCAAATTAATTCAATGGCCACCCTTTTTGCTAGCAAGCAAGGTCTGCAAATTCCCCTCTGAAGTTCTAATTACATGTTGATTTATTCTATTTTATCTGTGGTTACGAAAGAGGGCCTAAGATGAGAGGAGACAGACACACGGGGTCCTGTGACTCTGCTTCATTCACCAACAGACCAGTCCCATGCCAGTCGGAGGAGTAAGAGAACCATGGAACATCCAATCCAAAGTAAAATCTTAGTTTTCCATCCAGTCAGCTCCAAAGTTCCCTTCATATAAATTGTTTACAACTCCAGTTCCTTGAAGTTGGTGGATACTCTCTACCAGGTGTATATTGGGGTTTGTCTCCTCAAGTTGCATTCCTAGAAGATCAATTAGCCGGTAGCTTAGAAAAAGTATTTTTGTGAGCTCCAAATCCCAAGCTCAATGAAGAGCAGTGAAATTGCCCCATAACTCTGCTCTAACCATTGTACACTCCCTCTAAGAAACATGAAATAGAACAACCAGGCTTCGTTTCCTTCATGAAAAACACTATCTCCCTAGCTAGGCCCATTGAGGCTCTAGAAGTTGCAGTTGTATTGGTCTTGATCCAACTAGATGAAGCGGGGTACCGACCAAGTTAATATTAAGCTTTGGCCTTATGCTAGTACAATTGTTATATTGCTGGAAAATTTCCCTGCGTCTATTACTCCTTGTCCTATGGGAGATCAGTAGATATGGATATGTTTGTTGTTTTTGATTGCTAATCATATTTGCAGATCCCAATAGCTTTGGATATGGCGGCTCAGTTCCGGTCGAAAGATGCTGACCTCTGGAAACGTATTTGTGCTGATGAGTACATGAAATGTGCTGTGATAGAATGCTATGAATCTTTTAAACATGTCCTGAATGTTCTGGTGATTGGAGAAAATGAGAAAAGGTACATTTTTTATCGAGGAAAATTCATTTCCATCTTCTATATTTTGCATTTCATCTTTAGCTTAAGCTACTTGCATATGTGACCAGACGGCCAATGTCGGGTTTGTTGAAGTTCCCTTGTTTATGATTTATAATGTATGGCTTCATAAGTTATAATGGATAGAATTTCTGCTCCCCAATCTTCCCAATGGCTATACTATTACATTTGCTCAAGAATTGGGAAAACTACAAGGCAAAGGTGTCTAGCATTTTAATCATTGAAATTCTGCCCTTACAAATTAGGAAGCGGTCTGGTTCTTACCGTCTCCATTTTTCCTTCTCCTCTAAAATGTCCCCCTTGAAGCTTAAGTTTTCAAGTATCATCATGTTTTGGTTATTCCTATTTACATGATCGTATTCATTACTTTTAGTAGTTTTTCTTAGTTGAAGCTGTAAACTCTACTATCATTTTTATATATGGGAGTGGCACTGTAAAATCTGAGTTCTACTATCTTGTTTTCTAGTGGTTAGATTTTGATACTTAATTTTTTGTTCATTGCTTAGTTTAGATGGATGCCTTTGTTTTCGAAGTCACATTTTCTCTGACTTAAAATCTGTGTTCTTTAGCTGTTAATTAATTTATCCGAGTCTGATCTGAAGCTCTGAATCCTCTGGAACGTTAAATCAAATAAGATTTATTACTTGAATTGGAGTGTTTGTTTTTCCTCCTTTCTATTAGCGTGCCATTTATTTAATGGAAGTGTGATTGAATTTTACTCCATGGTCCTATCTAAGTTTCAATGCAATGATTGGTAATTGTGGCTATGGTGTTGCAGGACAATTGGAATCATCATTAAGGAAATTGAAAATAACATTTCAAAGAATACGCTTCTTGCAAACTTTAGAATGGGTTCGTTACCAGTAATTTGCAAGAAATTTGTGGAGCTTGTGGGGATTTTGGTGAGTCACTTGGACTATAATGGCTTTAATTTTTTTTTTTTTCATGTACTGGAAATTACCACTCTCTTTCATGTTGCAGAAAGACAGTGATCCATCCAAGCGAGATAATGTGGTCTTGTTGCTCCAGGACATGTTAGAAGTGGTTACCAATGATATGATGGTGAATGAGAATCGGTTGGTAAACATTTTCGGAGATCAAATTAGTGTTTGCAATCTCAGCTCCTTATATGAAAACTGAAAATTCTTCATTTCTTATATGATAACAAACAGTGAATTGGTAGACCTTGGACATGGTGGAAAGGATTCGGGAAGGCAACTTTTTGCTGGTACTGGTACAAAGCCTGCTATAATGTTCCCTCCTGCAGTTACGGCACAGTGGGAAGAACAGGTATTAATCAATATTAAAAGACAACAATTAATTTTATCTTTCACTATATATTAATGATGATAAGGGTTTTCGTAATGTTCTTTTAGATAAGGCGTCTCCATCTCCTTTTGACTGTAAAAGAATCTGCTATGGATGTACCGACAAACCTTGAAGCGCGTAGAAGAATTTCATTCTTTACAAATTCCTTGTTTATGGATATGCCACGTCCTCCTCGAGTTCGTAAAATGCTTTCATTCAGGTCTAGTTTATATTTCAATGAATAGGCATAAAGTTATTCTGAAAGATTAATATTTACGAGAAGATTGTTAGGTATATCAAAATTAGTTTCTGTGTTCACTTATTATTTTGTTGGATATACATTGGGCTTCTAGATAGTCTAGATACTGATTTTGTAGCATCCGAGGAGTTGAATTTCCTTTAAGGATAAAAATATCTTTTCCTCAAGTGAGACTCTTTTTCACCATGGACAGTGTCATGACTCCATACTACAGTGAAGAGACTGTTTATTCTAAATCTGACCTTGAAATGGAGAATGAAGATGGTGTATCAATCATATACTACTTGCAAAAGATCTACCCAGGTAGTACAGTTTGTCTTAACTAATTCTTTGTTTATGGCTTGCCTTTATTTTGGATTGGTTCAATATTATTGGCGGAACTTATTTAGCAACCATCTCACAACTCTTTTAGATGAATGGAATAACTTCATGGAACGACTCAATTGTAAAAATGACAGTGAAGTTTGGGAAAAGGAAGAAAACATTTTGCTTGTACGTCATTGGGCTTCCTTAAGAGGTCAAACTCTCTATCGTACAGGTGATTGTTACATTCAATTTTTCTTCACTGAATTCATTTATGAGTTTTTCTTTACTAATACTTATAGATGTTTCAGTTAGAGGGATGATGTATTATAGACGAGCTTTGAGACTTCAGGCCTTCCTCGATATGGCTTCAGAAAATGGTAACAGAATAAATTCTTCTCTCCCCAACATCATAGCAAACTTTGTAGACTTCAAACATGGAACTTTGTCTGCAGTTTGGATTGAATTATAACAAAATAGAGAATGTTTTTGCAACTGGATGTTTAATTCTTTAATCCTTAGAATGATGCCAACAGATGAAAATCTCCAACTGCTTGCCTTTTTTGATTACATCTTGAATTTGCTTGATTGGGCTAAAATAGTGAAATTACAACCGTCATTGTTTACATAATATTTGAAAAAAAACAGTGTGGAATTCCTTTCATTTGCAAATGGTTTCATTAAAATAATCCATTTATAAATGAATTTTTATATTTGGGTCAACTATAAAATTCATTCTAAATATGTAGCTTTACTAGTTTATAATTAGTGGCTTGTATTCCTTTCGAGTTTAGAGCTTGTTTGTAAATTCTATCAATTTTGATAGGACTTGGTCTAAGCATGACCAATTCCATAAAATTAAAAATGTAGAATTCCAAATGAATTTTTATTTATACTAAATATGAAATTTGGATTTGTAGTTGAATTCTATTAATTTATTTATACCAAATAAGCTTTTAAACAAATGATATCAATGGGGTGATTCAGCCAAAATTCAGGATTGTCATAAGTGATAAATTCAGCATATAGATTCAATAGATTAGGGAATAATGATTATACATTAATTGCTTTTCAAAAAGTACTTCAAAATTTTTTTAGACTTACACTTTCTTTTGCATTGATATTAATTTAATTAGAGCGGAACTTGAAACAGAGGATTCATATAGCTAACCCCAATTAGTTTGGGACTAAGGCTTAATTGTTGTTCTTGTATATGTTTGGTTACGTTTTGAATTGTATGCTCTTTGAAAATTCAAATACTATCTCCGACTGATGGTCAGATATGCATTTCTTCCTATCATTTTTTTCAGTAAAAGCATTAGAAATTAGATAACTCATACCTTTGACAAACAAAAAGGATAAAATAAGAATGCTTACCTGACTATCAGTTTTGGAGTGTGAGAAGAAGTAACTGCTTCTGTTATAAGGCATTGTTTCTCAATCATTTACTAAAAGTTGAGATCATTACCTCTAACTTAAAAATATAGTGTTCAAGGTGCAAAAGATGTACAAGGCACGTACGTTACTTCCATGTAACATGTCTCATTTTCTCATCAATTCATTTCAATATGTTATAGCAAATGCTTTCCGAAAGGGGATAGTTTTCATATATTATTATAAATTCTTTTCTGAATGGGGAAAATTTTCTAGTGATACATTCACATTTTGCAGTTTTCTTGTTGGCTTTTGACTTGGCATTTTATGCGCAGAGATACTGGAAGGCTATAAAGCTATCACAGTTCCATCTGAGGAAGATAAGAAAAGTCAAAGATCCTTACAGTGATACATTCACATTTTGCAGTTTTCTTGTTGGCTTTTGACTTGGCATTTTATGCGCAGAGATACTGGAAGGCTATAAAGCTATCACAGTTCCATCTGAGGAAGATAAGAAAAGTCAAAGATCCTTACATGCTCAACTAGAGGCAGTAGCAGACATGAAATTCACATACGTTGCTACATGTCAAAATTATGGTAATCAGAAAAGGAGTGGAGATCGCCATGCAACAGACATCCTGAATTTGATGGTTAAGTATGTTCTGACCCTGATATTGTTGCTTTTTCTATTAATATATTACACGTTTGATCACTGAGTTCGCGATGTTCATGATATTGATATCTGCTGCTGCTCTACAGCAACCCATCTCTACGTGTTGCTTATATTGATGAAGTTGAAGAAAGAGAAGGTGGAAAAGTACAGAAGGTTTACTACTCTGTATTGATCAAAGCTGTCGATACACTGGATCAGGTGATTATTCTTCATACTCAGAATATTATTATACTGTTACCATTTGAACTAAATATGCTGATGTTCTTCCATCTTTCCCAAAGGAAATCTATCGCATAAAATTGCCAGGTCCAGCAAAATTAGGAGAAGGGAAGCCCGAAAATCAGAACCATGCTATAATATTTACTCGAGGAGAGGCTCTTCAGGCCATTGACATGAATCAGGCAAACATCCGTAAAGAGCTGAGTTCAATACAGTTCCATTATGCATTTTGGGACAATCGTAATGAATATTGTTTCTATTTCTTATAGGATAATTACTTAGAAGAAGCATTCAAAATGCGTAACCTTTTAGAGGAATTTCATGAGGATCATGGTGTGCGTCCACCGACCATTTTAGGTGTCCGTGAACATATCTTCACTGGAAGGTTGTTGGAGGTTTTTGTTTAGTATCTATTAGCTGTTTTTATTTCATGAAATCCTATTGTGATGTTATTTTATATATATTTGCTGCAGTGTCTCTTCTTTGGCTTGGTTCATGTCAAATCAAGAAACCAGTTTTGTCACCATTGGTCAGAGAGTTCTTGCAACACCGTTGAAGTAAATTTCTCTCTTCTTTAGTCCTTTTGTTGGAGAACCGAGTAAAGACAATTATACTGTATGGAATAGAAATATTCATTTTAGGATCGCACACAAACACGCACGCGCACACATATAAAATTAAACCTCTCTGAGGTTAATTAAACTTAAGAATAAAATCAACAAGTATTGGGATGAGTGGTTCAACACTCTTTTTCCCTTAAATAAGGTCAAGAGTTCAATTTTTATTTAGCACAGTGTTTAAGACCGAAAAAAAAACTAAAGAATAAAAAAATCTCCTCCCTGTTAGCATCAAAATTTATTGAAATTACTTTTAGAAATTAAAAGCCAAATAGGTGAGAGTTGAATTGAATGATACATAAGTTAAATTCCTTAAATTAGGTTCTTTCTTGGCCCTGTTAGCATCAAAAAGAAATTACTTTTAGAAATTAAAAGCCAAAATAGGTGAGAGTTGAATTGACTCATACACAAGTTAAATACCTTAAACTAGGTTCTTTCTTGGCTCTGTTAGCATCAAAATCTATAGAAATTACTTTTAGAAATTAAAAGCCAAAATAGGTGAGAGTTGAATTGACTCATACACAAGTTAAATACCTTAAACTAGGTTCTTTCTTGGCTCTGTTAGCATCAAAATCTATAGAAATTACTTTTAGAAATTAAAAGCCAAATAGGTAAGAGTTGAATTGACTGATACATAAATTAAATACCTTAAGATAGGTTCGGTTCAGTGTGGTAGCAAAATATATTCTGATATCAATATATATTGGTTGCTTTCAGGATCCGTTTCCATTATGGGCATCCAGATGTGTTTGCTAGAATTTTTCACATTACCCGTGGTGGCATGAGCAAGGCATCTCGTGGCATCAATTTGAGCGAGGATATCTTTGCTGGTAACATTTTTAATGCATATTTTTTTTTTTCCAACAACAAAATTAAATCGAAGAAAGGAAATATTGAAGCATCCATTTTCTTTGGAGCAGAGGATAACACATTTTTATTTTCCTATATAGGTTTCAACTCAACATTAAGACGAGGGAATGTTACTCATCATGAATATATTCAAGTGGGGAAAGGTCGAGATGTTGGACTCAACCAAATCTCACTTTTTGAAGCAAAAGTAGCTTGTGGTAATGGGGAGCAAACCCTTAGCAGGGATATCTATAGACTGGGCCATCGTTTTGACTTTTTCCGCATGCTTTCGTGCTATTTTACGACCATTGGATTTTATGTCAGTGCAATGGTAATTCATTTTATATGCATAGTTCAAGTTGAAAAAAATTGGAATGATAGTGCATGCTGGGTGAATTAAATTTTACGGTTCCCCATTTTCCTAAGACTTCACCTAAACTTTACAATTTACTTAAGGCAAGAAGACTTTGTTGACTTGTCAACAAAATGACAAAAAGATAAATATCTAAACAAGCAGCATAAAGTAGCAGAGATGAAAAGCTGAAATAAGTTCAAAATTTAAAGCTATATATGAAATCTACATGCATTTGTCAATTGTATTTCATTAATATCCTTTAGAATTTAGAAAAAGAAAAAGAGAGTTGATTACAACACCTGAAATTTTATTGTTTATGTCCTTTATTGTCATTCTCTTAAACCCTACTGGATATGCTATTGAAAGGGACAAGCCAACTAGCATTTGTTACTCAAAGAAAGTCATGTCCGTCTAACAGCTGCACACAACTTTCTATGAGTCATGTGCATGAAGGGAAGTGCATATTTGATGTATAGGAGGTTCACCTGACATTACTTTTGTTGGATGTAGATGGTTGTCCTTACAGTCTATGCTTACTTGTATGGAAGGCTTTACCTGTGCTTGAGTGGATTGGAGGGCTCGATAATGAAGTATGCAACTCGGAGGGGAGATGATCCCTTGAAGGCAGCCATGGCCTCACAATCCCTTGTTCAGATTGGTCTTTTGATGGCCTTGCCCATGGTCATGGAGATGGGACTGGAGAGAGGGTTCAGAACAGCAGTAGGTGACATAATCATCATGCAGCTTCAGCTTGCTGCAGTTTTCTTTACATTTTCACTTGGGACAAAAGCCCATTATTATGGACGCACTGTCCTGCATGGTGGGGCAAAATATAGAGCTACCGGGCGTGGTTTTGTAGTCCGGCATGAGAAGTTTGCTGAGAATTATAGGATGTACTCAAGGAGCCATTTTGTTAAAGGACTGGAGCTTATGATATTGCTTATATGTTACCACTTATATGGCAAAGCGGTAACAGGTGGAACAGCTTATGTGTTGCTCACGATTTCAATGTGGTTTCTAGTGGTTTCTTGGTTATTTGCTCCTTTTCTTTTTAATCCATCAGGATTTGAATGGCAGAAGATTGTGGAGGATTGGGAAGATTGGTCAAAGTGGATTAGCAGCCAGGGTGGTATTGGTGTACCGGCAAACAAGAGCTGGGAATCATGGTGGGAGGAGGAACAGGAGCATCTGCAGCACACTGGCTTTCTCGGACGGTTTTGGGAGATTATTCTTGCATTGCGCTTCATTATCTATCAGTACGGTATTGTCTATCAACTGGAAGTCACTAGGGAAAGTCCAGCTGGTAGATCACGGAGCATTGCTGTGAGTATACTAGCTCTTTATTCTCCTACAATAATATCTTATAATTTAAGACGTATATGGCTGTTTAATTTGGTTTTACAATTTCAGGTCTATGGTCTGTCCTGGCTAGTAATTGTTGCTCTAGTGATCATCTTAAAGGTTAGTGTTAAAACTCGAGAAACATGTTCCATTGTGGTCATGGCGTTGAAATGACTCTTAAAGGTTCATGTCTTAAACTGCAGATTGTTTCCAAGGGTAGAAAAAAATTTAGCGCAGATTTCCAGCTGATGTTCAGACTTCTTAAGTTGTTCCTGTTTATCGGGTTTGTGGTCATTCTTGTTATTCTTTTTGCTACCCTTCATCTCACACTAGGGGACATTTTTCAGAGCCTGCTAGCCTTTCTGCCAACGGGTTGGGCACTTCTGCAGGTACACGATTTTTATCTTAAACAAGTAAATCTAAAAATTTTAACTTTTCTACTTTTAACCCATAGTTAGCTAAGCTTCAAATGCTGCAAAACATCAAAATGCTATTTATTCAAGAATAAGACATCATCTCTTAAGTATAGTTAATCGAGAAGTTAACAAGCACGGGTTTAATTATGTGATCAGATATCACAAGCAGCGAGACCATTTGTGAAGGGTCTAAAAATGTGGGGGTCGGTGAAGGCTCTTGCAAGAGGGTACGAGTACATGATGGGGTTAGTGATCTTCACACCAGTGGCTGTATTGGCCTGGTTCCCATTTGTGTCAGAGTTCCAAACCAGGCTGTTGTACAACCAAGCATTCAGCCGAGGGCTTCAGATCCAACGTATTCTTGCCGGTGGGAAGAAGAACAAATAATAAAAATTTGCTGCTTTTAGCTTCATCTTGAATTCTTGATTATTGAAAGAGCCAAAGGTTTAGTTGTATCTTTTATGGAGGGTGATGGAACAGAAAGAGAGAGAGAGAGAGAGAGGGGGGAAGAGAGAGAGAAAGAGATGTTTTTTTGTTCCATATTGGTGGCTTGAATGTTGACGTCCCCGTTTAATTCTTTGAGTTACCTCACAATTGCCATTGATTTTGCTTCATCGTCATATTTTTTTTTTTTTTTTTTTGCCTATTGATTTGCTTTCATTCTCACGTACTTTTATTTTTTTTGTCCATGTGGAAAAGACTCAGTTGTATTGCACTACAAGCCCCAAGAAATTAAATATTTTTGACATCTTTTTTTTTTTTTTTTTGTCCATGTGAAAAGATCAGTGTATTGCACTACAAGCCCAAGAAATTAAATATTTTTGACATCATGTTATAATGTGTTGGAAGACAAATAGGCATTATTACGAAAAGGAAATATATAAATTTTATGTTAAAAAAGAAACATTATTACATTACCTAAAATAAAAGATAAAAGAAAAACTTTTTTTTTTCTAAATTTAAATTTAGTGGATTGAGTTTGAATTTGCTTATCCAACTTTTTTTAATAAATGAATTAAGTTCAAAATTTTGAATAAGGATAGCAAGTCAACTCAATAGTAGTAAATGAATTTACAATATGATCCCTCAATATTAGTAAATAAATTTGCATTTAAGACTATGAATCAACTCAATAATAATAAATGAGTTAACAATGTAATAAGTTTGAGTTCCATTTAGTGATTATTCTTATAGAGCTTATTCTTATAGATGTTCTTATTTTAGATGTAGAAGAGCAAACTCTTATAGTGAATTCCTCCCTCTATAAATCATTATGTTTTGTTGGATGTCGGTCCTCTTTCTTAATCCATATGATTCAGTTTATTCTTAAAAAAAAAAAAAAAAAAAAAAAAAAAAAAAAAAAAAGTTCCATGAAGTGATGAGTGCAACTTTTTAAAAAAAAAAAAAAAAAAAAAAAAAAAAAAAAAAAAGAAGCTTGAGTTCCATGAAGTGAATGAGTTGCAACTTTTTTCATTAAGGAATAATTATTATTTTATTCCTGTATTTTTATACAATTAACTAAAAAATAGGTCATTTTATCCTTATAACTAATGGTCTTTCTGCGCTTCACGTGTGGATGTTATATGATATTTAAAAATAAATATATTATTTTTCTTATAACAAATAATCATTTTCAAGAATCCAAATACCAAATATATTATACTTACCAATTTTCCAAAGAAATAAAATAAAAAATAGTTTGTTTCCTAGATTTTTGCAAGAGTATCAATATATTAACATATGCATATATAAATCAAGTTTATTAATATCTTAACAGATTTTAAAATAATTTTTATAAATATCGGTTATTATTGAATTTATTTTTAGTAAATTAATAATCTAAAATCTAGGCATAAATCTATATAAACATTAAAAACTTAAAAAAAAATTTATCAAAGTTTGCCCAAATTTAAAATAGATCAAGAAATAATGTCATTTTCCTTCACAAAAGAAAAAATATATATCAATTTATCATAAAATATTTCTCCATTTTACACATAATGACATTAGAAAAGGAATTTTAATTTTAATTTCATTAAATAAAGGAAGTTTTTATGATTTAGGTGGCATTTGCATTGGACAAAAATAAACATTTAATTGTCATAACAATAAATAAAATACTTTTATATGGATCAAATACGTTAATAGTTATGAAATAATTTACAAATCACAAAATCATACCTTAATTGATCATCAAAATTGAATACACTTCGTAATTTTATCGCCATCGCTACATTGATCAAGTTCACATCTATCAAATGCCATGAAATAGTCTTATATTATTTACAAAGAATCCATTTCTTTTTGTTGAAAGTATGATGTGATTTTCTTTATGGTTTTTTTATATTCAAATAGATGTTTACAAAATTTCTGTAAAAATAAAAATGTAAAAAAAAATAAAAATGAAGAGAATAAATATTAATGAAATTGTTAATTATTTTAAAAAAGAAAGTGAATATTTTTTAAAATACTAATGATATTATTAATTTTATTATTTAAAAATTAAAAATATTATTAATGATATCAATTAAATTAATTAAATTCTCTAGTAATTATCTTTAAAACAATGTTTTAAAATATAAAAATTGTTTCCAACTCAATAGATTAACATTGCCACATAAGCAATTTAACACTCTAAAAAGATGCCATATAAATTTTGATGACTCAACTTTTATATATTTATATAGATAGATAGGTTTGCTTCTATTAAAACAATGATCATGTTCGGTAAAATTAATTATTTTAATAATTTTAATTGTGCTTTTAACCATTTTTTGTTTTGCTAATCTCTCGTCAAAGTTGTTTTTCTAATCTTCAACAAATATGAAAAGCAATAAAATTTTATAATTTATTTTATCAAACTCTTGACACTCTTGTAAACATTACGTCACTAAATATTATAAATAATAAGGAGAGAATTTTGACCGAAGAGAGAATTTTGACCTAAAACCTATATTAAAAATTGTTGCCAAATAAGACCTATATAATTTTTCTACTAAAAAAATTCATTGTTTATCACTAAGTGTCTAATAAAAAGATGAAAATAGTCTTATTAGATAAAGACTCTTCAATACTAACAAGACAATTAATAAAGTCCTAATGAATAATTTCACTCTGAACTTTCAAATTTTATTGCGATTTCACTCTATTTTTAAATTTATGCCAATTTCACTCTAATTATTACCTTTTGTAGTATTAGTATCTCAAATTACAATCGGTGATTAAATTGCAAAGCGGAACTATATTAATGTGGAGCCCACTTTTCACCTTGGGTTAACTTAACTCAAGCCCCCCTCGTTCATATAAAACTCTCCGTTTTGGCCAAATGAAAATGGGAAAATATAGTATGTGAAACGCTCTCGTTTTGAGTAGAACCCAGCAAATCAAAGCCTCTGTTTCATCTCCTGTAACCTCTTCTCAACTCCGAGTACAACATAAATTTCATCTCCTCCCAATCCAAATAGCAATCGATGCTCTTATGATGATTTTTCTTTTCCTCAAGCATAGTTTTTAGTCCGTAATTTTATCATCTCATCTGTTTACTACTTGTTTATTTTTGTCAATATGAGATTCTGGAGTTTGGGTTTCACTCTTGCCATTTTCATCGATCTAATTTCCTTAACTAAAAAGAAGGCTTCATTGCCTCAACCTTTGATTGATCAAGAACTATTCAAATAAATTGCAAGTGGTATTCATGTGCTTTATACAATAGAAACTGAAAGCATAGAGAAAATATTTTATCTTCTTTAAAGAATCAAGCAGTGGAGATTGAAGATGAAGTTGAAGCAGAACAAGTGGAAATGAAAAGTTAATGAATTTAAAGGAGACAACAATTAGAAGTTTAGAAGCCATAGTTGATGAGCTGAAGACTGAGCAAAGAAATTTGATAAAAGATATTATGAAGTTGTCAATGGAGAGGAAAATTTACTACGTTTCAATATGGATTATAGGATTAGTGAGTTCTGTAATAAAGATGCGCAGTTGGTTGGTACCTTGGAAAAGATAGTGCAGTCTGTTGATGATATTTGAATCTCGTTTGGCTTTATAAGTGAGATACTGAGATTTCATTTGCAGACATAAATCTAAAGCAGATCGAAGGCACAATTGGAGTTGCTTGTTGTTGAGAATATAAGACTGAAATACGCGATTGAGCAAAAGTTAAAAAGGGACTTGATGAAGTTTTTATTTGCAGGCGTTGTGATAATATCTTTATTTCTATTAGGCGTTGTGATAAAGTTTTTAACTTGATGAAATTGGTATAAAGTTAAAAATAGAGTCAAATCGCAATAAAATTGAAAGTTCAGGAGAAACAACACATTAGGTTATAAATAAATATATAATTATTTTATTTATTTGGAAAAAAGTTCTTTGCAGAAGAATTGAGGGAACTAAAGTTTTTTTTTTTTCCTAATTTACCCTCAATATTGCATTAACTACACCCTTCTTTGCTAAAGTCAATTATGCGGGGCTCTCTTAGTCCAATAAAGTCAATTAATAACTCAAAATCAAGAGTAATGGATTATGAGTAAAAATTTGTTTATCCTGCATATATGTATTGTATATTAAATTCCCGGCATTTTCATATCGTCTGAATTTACATGGATGAGTAAAATATATAAACAAATTTTTTGAATGAGCACTAATATATTTTTGTAGTGAAGTTTAATACCTAAACAATTGGGCTTAATCTTTTTTTATAGACATATCTCTATTTTTTTTCTTTATATATTAATTATATGATTTTCAATTTTCTGAATATGTGAGTTAAACTGAAAATGGTTAATTTAGGGTTTGGCATGGCACAATCTTTAAGTTATACACTATTGAAGAGAATTATAAAAACAGTACAGTGAACTAAAATTGCACTCATAAATTGATTGTTTGATGCATTTTTTAATTAAAGTGGAGAGAGAACGGAATAAAACCATTGCCTTGTAAACATAGAACCATTAAATGCGTTTTCTGTATTGTCTTCCACTAACTTGATATTTTCACATATCAAGACAATAAATGATGCTATATAAAGGGACAATATAAATTTTGTACCTTCATTTTTTATTAAAAATAGTACTGACTTTGTCTAAAAAAAGGATCAACGTAAATGAAAAGTTTGTTCAAATAAATAAAACAGAGGGAGTAGTAAATTAAAAAAAAGTCGATTACATTTTCAGAATTGAAAGACAATCAATTAGAGTTATAAAATGATATGAAGAGACTTAAAAAAAAAAAAAAATTATAACCTTTTGTGATCATTAACAAGGATTGGAAAAGAGAAAGAGAGAGAACTACAGTACAAAAAATGCAAAGGCAAAAAAATTCAAGGTTGATACAAGATTAAGAAGGAGCGGAAATAAAAAATTGCAAGTAATCAGTAATCACCCACAACGTGACACTGCGTTAATCCTTGAAAAGAAATACCAATTGTCACAGCATGTAGAAGGTTCATCTTTTATACTCAGATTTATTACAATGTTAGTAGAAATTATAAGATCTGCCAAATCAAATACAAAGAAAGTAAAAGGAAAATCAAAGAGAAAAAGCAACTAACACATCTATCTAGATAAGTAAAAGCAAAGTTTAAAAAAAAAAATTCACTTAATCAATGGTGATATCTAAATTTAGAGGTAGCTAGGCACTTCATCATCACTAGATTTTAATTCATCACTTTAAAATTGTATCAATAAAAGAACTATTTTAAAGAATTCATCACTTTATAATTATATTAATGGGGTAAGTCTGTGTGAAAAGAATTCAGATCTCATAAATAAAAAATTGAGTGTTTGATCCTTGTGAATAGAGAAAATCCATGTTAAAAGCTTTCTTCCTTGTGAGCTTATTCCTTTTCCTTTTTCCTGCACTCTTCTCATAAAATTTTCACATTTTAATTCACCAATTTTCTATAACCATGCCATCTAAAAAAAACATAGAGTCGTCACAGTGCTTAATAACTTGAAGGGGCAAATAATCTAAGAATCAATAGGTCTGTGTAGGACGGATCTACAATTGGGCAATGGGGGCACTTGCCCTCACTGGTTTTTTTACAGTTTAATATATATAATTATATTAATTTGTATTTAGTCTACTGAATTTTTACATTTTGCTCCTATTGAATTATTACTTTAATATATTGCCCATTAATTTTTACTTATTAAGCTTAAAGGTATATTTTACTTCTCTAATTTTTTTTGTAATTGTGTTCCAAAACAATTTTTTTTGAATATCTTTTAGCGTTTTGATTTAAACGCTGTTATAGTGTTTAATAATATTAGATTATAGAGGTTAATCTAATATTTTATATAGTTTATTTCAGCAAAATGTTTAATAGTTGTTAACTATTTTAGTAACACTTAAATATTTGAATAGCTTTATATAAAAATGCTAAAAATTAAATGTATATGACTTCATTTCTTATAAAACATTGTTTTAACCTCTAAGCTATTCGGTATAAATGTTATATTACTGAACACACAGTAAAAATAAAAAAAATATTTTAACCTATCAAAACTCAAAAACGTTACTTAAAAAAATTGATTTGGTTTATCCACAAAAGGTATAAACAAAATCAATTTATTATAATTTTAAATTTTAAAAACCCAAACAAATCACGACTAACGCTCCCTACAGTAGTAACGGAGAGGCAATCAGGCAAGTGCACGCGTGCGTGGAACCAACGCTCGAGCATGACCTTATAAACAACTAACAAATAATCGTAAAGAATCGAAGATTAGGGATTCAGGACTTGGCAGAGAGAGAAAGTCACGGAGAGCGAAATAGAGAGAAGATGTCGTACCTGCTTCCTCACTTGCACTCTGGATGGGCCGTCGATCAGGCAATCCTAGCGGAAGAAGAGCGTCTCGTGGTCATTCGATTCGGTCACGACTGGGACGAGACTTGCATGCAGGTTAATAATACCCTTTTCCTTTTACCCTTTTCTTTCTTTTCCTGATCTTTGAGCTATGTCTTTGAATTTGGAATTCTAATCCATTCAGAATTGATTTCTTAAGTTATAAGTAGAAATTGAAGTGTGCAATCTCAAGAATCAATTACTGAATCCTAGAATTGGAAACTACATGTTTGACTGTTCATAATGCATTATTAAATCCCTAATTAGTATTAATGTAACTAATCCGAATTTAATTTTGTAGAGCTGTATATTTTCTAATAAAACTATCTTATTTTGTTTTAATTTCAAGCAATTTTATGGCCAATTTTTAGGGTTGTTTGAACCACAATTGTGAAATTAGTTATAGTGTGGGATTATGCTATGTATTTTGTGGATGCCCTGGAAGCTGAGAAGCTGAGAAGTTTTGGTTTTAAAGAAGGCAAGAGCTCTATGAAGCAATATGATTGGTACCTCTTTCTATGATGATATGCCTAATTGTTCGTCTTTTTTGCTCTGCGTGATGCTTCCTGGGTCATTCATGAAAGACACAGTAATGGTTAATTAGTTTGTTTTTCCCTGCTAGGACTTTGCGTTTATCTCAAAAGCTGAAAAATAATTCTTGGCTTTCTTGTAATTGGGATTGTGAACTAAAAGGCTATGCCTTTAGTTGAATAGTTTAATATCTTGGCTCAAGTGGAACCATTTTAGTTTTCTGTTGCTTGACTATGCATCCCTTTCCTTGCCGTCAAATCTGCTATATTGCTTTTATTAGTGCATGGGCTGCTATCTTATTCTAAAGTTGTTTTCTTGATTAGAAAGTGGTTTGTACCGTTTGAAAAATATTTATTCTCTAATTGGTTTTATTTATGTTTTTTAGATGGATGAAGTGTTGGCATCTGTTGCCGAGACAATAAAGAACTTTGCTGTCATATACCTTGTAGACATCACAGAGGTGCCAGATTTTAATACAATGTATGAGCTGTATGATCCATCGACTGTGATGTTCTTCTTCAGGAACAAGCACATCATGATTGATCTTGGAACTGGAAATAACAATAAAATCAATTGGGCTCTCAAGGACAAGCAGGAGTTCATTGACATTGTTGAGACTGTCTATCGCGGGGCAAGGAAAGGTCGTGGTCTGGTTATTGCTCCAAAGGATTATTCCACAAAGTACCGTTACTAAGTGTGTCTGAAGGTTACTCATTGGACCATGTAAGAACTTGTATGAAAAAAGTATATTTGCTTAAAACTCTTCAGAATTTGGACTGCTCTGGTTGACCAGTACTTTAATATGGTCCCAATTTCAAATTTCTATACACATTATCTGACTTCGACGTTTTATTTCAAGCTAAAAACTGGGTTTTCCTTCTTCACTTTGAATAATCATAGATGAAGTAAGGTTAGCATTGGCCATAGATGTTCTTTGCAGCAGCTTGAACATGATGCACGATAACACATTCTTTTCAGCTGCGAGCATTAAAATTGGCCAAAGTTATTATTTTTAGTAAAACCTGGGAAGAGGTGATAGAAGCAAGTAAATTAAATCAAGAAAAGTTGTGTGCTATATTTCTAAAGCTCTAGTCTTTGATAGTTGACTGCAAATGTAGCAAATTTGTTTGGTCTGCTTTCTTTCTGTGAACATGTTTATGACTTGACACAATCCAATTTTGTTGACTGAAAGGACTAGAAAATTGATTTACTTTGTTGTCTAAGCCCAGTCCAATATAATAAAATTCACAGGCAAATGGTAATGGAACATAATATAATATAATACAACCAAATGTATTTTTAGTATGAATATTAAGATAGACATAATTATTGCTAATTTATTACAAATTATTAAAGACTAGCTATATGCATTTTACATTATTATATTTCAGTTTATAATCAATATTTGTGTATTTCTTCTGTTATAACCTTTTACGAAAGGCGTCCACCAGCTCTATAATTGCTATGCCAATTAAATACCATGTAATCCCTGCCAATGTAACTTGTAACCAGGAGCTATTAACAATCGCCAACGCGAAATCACCACCTATATGTTCATTTAATCTGCCAATGGCTTGCTCCCTTACTTGCAAATGTACTATAATCGCTGCAATTGCAGCGGCTACCATTGGGATTCTCCGTCTAGTGGGGTTCTTCTGGTTCTCTTCTATTCTATGATCTTCCTTATTCAGATATTTTCGCTGTTTAGTACGCGAAGCTTTTACAGTAGCTTGAAAGCCAGACTTATTGATAGATGCCGGAAGTGCTCCAGCCGAAGGAATCCAGTATTCATCGTGGTGTATGTAATTTGATGTGGTTTGATGAACAGGTCTTAAGTTGTGTACTGCTTGTTTTCTTGCTGCAGCAGCCTGTCGGAGCTTGTTAATGTTTGGTTCAGACGACTTTTGGGTAATCTGTGGGAGGTTTTGACGAGGTTCTGATGTAGATTTTGGTGATTGCCAGTATAACCAATTTGAGATTGATCTGATTGCTTGAATAGCTGATAGTCTGGCTTCTCTTTGTAGATCTGTTTCCTGAAATGAATAGGACATGTGTGGTTACGGTTACTTTGAGTGAGTTATTACCTTGACAATTGCACAAAATTAATAAATCATACTTAAAATATGTATACTCTGCATAGTTATCTGTCATTTTTTTCTATAAAGTGCATATGGGTATAGACTCGACTTCTAATCTCTTCTTCTCCAATATTATTAGGTGTTAACAAGTATGAACTCTGGTTTTATTTACTTTTCTTTGATATTACCAACATAATGTCATCAATATTAACATTGAACTAGACTAAAATAAAAAAAATGGACAAATAATTTGGAACATTTAAAATTAACTGGTGAACTATTATGCTGCAATTTTGGAAGGCATTATCATTGCATTAAAGAATACCTTGGAGCTCTCAGCATTTGCTTTGTTGATGGCCTCAACAGCTCTATTTTGAAATTTTTTCACATCGACGAATATGTTAGAGACACGTCCACCCACAGCATTGCTTGCACCGACTCGCACATTACCTCGTGGCTGCTTTGACATTAAGAACTCTAATGCTGCTAAATCTTCCCTTTCCACCATTCTGCATATTGTTCAAAATAAGATAATTGTAAATTTTCAATTCAATTAGAATTATTTCTGAATTAGTTAAATTTTGCAGCTGAATCTATCCTTACGAGATACAATCAACTGGACAGGAATCTATGGCTGCTTGAATTCTGTGCTCAGGATCAGCCCACTGAGCAACAACTCTTGCTCTTCCATAAACTGATTCAATGGCAAATGTTCTGTCTGCAAATAAAGCACATTTTAAGCAACCAACACATTTCACTTCATCCACAAACACTGCTCTCTCTTCACTTTCAGATCCAAACCATGCTGAGTATATTGGTTTCCCAGTGTACCCACGCAATTCAGCAATCTTTGCTTGTTCCTGTACAAAAAATGTACTACTCTAAAATTTCTAAACACAAAATTATCCTAAGAATCAGGGATTTGAATCCCATTTAAAACTAAATTACTAGAAATTAAGAGTAACCCAATTTACCCTTGAACTTGATCGCAGCAAATAATTTATGCAAAACTGAACTTCTAGATCGATTTTAACAGGAACTTTCAACGAAGAAGACCAACTGATCGTGGTAAAGTTTATAGACAATTTAAAGCTGTTTTAATCATGTCACCATCCTATAAATTTGTAACAAAACCAAAATAATAAATAATAAGAACACAAAGAAACCTTATCATAAGCCAAACGCGAATTCGGATCAGAGAGAACAGAGTAAGCTTCATTAAGTATAATAGCCATGTCATGTCCCGTCGGCCCGGCTATGTCCGGATGGCACCGCTTCTGCAGTGTCCGATAGGCCGTTTTTATCTGCGATTGATCGGAGGAGCTATCAATTCCTAGAAGATCATAAAGATCGAAATCTGTAATTGAAGAAGAAGAAGAAGCTCTGCATGTCAGTGAACTGTCGCGTACTTTCCTGGAATTTGGAGGAAAGGTATTGAATGATCTTTGGGTTAATAAGTTTTTTCTAACAGTGAAAGAAGCAGTTGGTAATGGTGTGCAGGAAGGGAGGCATGTAGTAGGCATTTTTCCTCCTCAAAGAGAGGATAGATAGAGCAGGGCCAGGTAGAGAGAAATAATTATTAGATATTTCTGGAGTACACTTCTCATTTTGGGAGCCAAAGATATTTAATTGAAAAGGAACCCAGTATTGAGTGATTGTTGAATCTAGTGATGCCAGTCAAACATTAATCTAATTATGTCATTGTCAAGTCTATTTCACGTATTTATGTACTTTATTGTTGCTAAATTCATCTAATTTTGGATCTTAAATTAAATTAAAATGAGTTAGTAGCTTGCTTGCACGAGCACAGTGGACTTGAACCTAGGGTCGATTGTGGATCGGTTCGGGACAGATTTCATAATATCCATATCTGATGCGTGAAAAATTTAGGTACCCGATTCATGACTCGGTCTGCTTCGGATCGGGTTGCGGATCGTGAAAGATCGGTTCAGACAATATCCATTTATATAAAAATAATAATTATGCTAAAAATACAAAAAATATAAAAAATTCAATATAAATGATAAATTCATATATTTATATATTTATATATATATATATATATATATATATATATATATATTATATTACATAACATTTAACAAACTTTTGAACAACGAATAAAATTTCCGCAGCATTAATATATATTACATAACATTAACAAACTTTGAAAAACGAATAAAATTCCGCAGCATAATAAAATTCTTAAAATATTCAACAAACATTACAAATAACAATTAATAAAGTTTTTCCTTTTATCCAAGAAACTGTCAATTACTATAAGTTAAAGCAAAAAACAATACAAGTAAAAGCAATAATACAATATATGGGTCAGAAAATACCTTAACATGCGACTTTGCAAAACCTAACAATTATCAATGTAGTTTGTTGTAATTACCACTGCCATTTTTTGTTGCTTGAAGTCCACATATCACATGTAACAACAATCCCACTGTGAATCTTGATTAATGTTTAAAACACTTTTTTCTTCTTATAATCACAAATTTTCATAAGGGTACCTGTACGTTTTATTGAAATTAACTACTATACCCTTATATTTTTTTAAATACACTACTATACCCTCATATTTTTAGTTCGTTAAACATTGTTTCCCTTCCTCCATTTTATGCATTTTCAAGCATTAAATTGCTATGAAATGACTTCAATGGCCTTAATTAAAAAATAAAATCAGTTTTGTTCTAAAATCAATTTTGTATATTGCCAGAATATTGCCGGTACTATTGCCTGATATGGCGAAAAAATGGGTTATTTAAGAATCTTTCAACCTTACCACTAAAATGATTAGAATCTTATGGGAAACTTAATTTTTACATTCATTTTCCTTTTTGATCACCACTCACCAATTAAAACTGATATCAAGAAATGTTTAAACCCCAAAACTTTTAGAGAGAGAAAAATTTGTTCATATTTTCTCTCTAAATTGAAAATTATAATCTTATTATTATTTCAACAATAATAATAAGGAAGAATAAGGATTTCTATTACTATATTAATCTCTTTTTCTTCTTATTCTTTTCTTATTTTAGAGAGATAAACTAGAAAGAGAAATTGTATAATTGCTATTATTCTTGCTTTTTGCTTATTGATTCATGCACAACAGCTTTATGTGGCAAAAAGCTGTAACAAATTGTTCCAACACAAGCAATTCAACTCTTAGATACTCCTGCAATGGCCAAAATAAAACTTGTCAAGCTTACCTTGTCTCCAAATCCAATCTCCTTTGAATATTGTTGCCTCTATTTTTACCTTTGTGAGCTTTGACCCATCTCAAAGTTCTAAAATGAATGTTTCTGAAATAGGAATCCATTGAGAGATTTTCAGATATAGGTGGTAGTGATTATGGAGGGAGAGAAAGTATTATAGAGAAATCATAATCTATAGAGAAAAAGTTTTAAAAATTGTTAACGCTCGATTTTTACCCTTATGCTCGATGATGAAGATTCTTCGATTCTCTAATTAATTGACGTTGGAAATTTTCCGGATTGCATGGTTTATAATTTTTTATAATTTTTTACATATATTGGGCTAATTGAATTTTGGATTGGGTTAAGAATATATGTAAAGCCTAAAAATAATTAGTTAAAGCCCAATAATAACGAGTGATCGCCCAAAAAGATAAAATCCAAAAATAATTAGTAATTGCTCTAAAATAATTAGTAATTATTTGAGGATAAATAAAAAAAAGTTGTGCAAAACAGAAAGAAGATATAAGGATTAAGGAGAGAAGAAGAGTCCAATGGGAGTGAAAAGGGGGAGAACCTAGCAAAATAAAAAACACAACACGATAAATAAGGGGGGGAAGAAAGCGTTGAAAGCTAGAGTGGAAAAAAGCAAAACAAAAAGAAAAGAAAAAAGAAAAAAGAGAGATTAACGTTAAAAAAAAAAAGATAGAAATAGATAAAAGAAAACGCAACAAAGGAAAGAGAAAGACTGCAAAAAAAGGAAGAAAACGCAAAAATCAATTTGAGAATCGATTAAAAGGTATGAATAGTTAGTTATATGCCCTATACCCGATTTGATTACTTATATTTTGGTTATAATATTTCATGTAATAAATATTTTATTATTTAATAAAAGACATTTATTTATTTTTTATATTCTATTTATTGAATCTTGGTAAAAAATATAGTCCATGAGACACTACTACTTTGCGAAATAAATTATAATGTGGTTATAATTATGAGTTTTATATTTGCATTAAAACAGTATCTCTAAATATTTACGATCAATGTTCTCCTCATTATTGGACAATGATTAGAGCTGTTGAGACTGATACATATTATATTCTTTCCTTAGAGATGCAGTTATTCTTATAAGCTGAAATATACGTGATATCTAGAACTAATATGTAGATGCTTATTATTTGAACAAGTCCACTGAATTGATTTGCATGAGAATTCCATATGGAGAGTTACCTGTGTCTATGGAATACTCAAGTGATGGCTGTGTAAGTGATCCTTTGACTGGAAATTATTGAGCTATCTTGTATGGTAAGGGTGGCCACAGTTCCGGAACTGACGGTTCCGGTTCCTAAAAAATTGGAACCGGAACCAAATCGAAAATTTCAGGTTTCGATTTCGGTTTGGAACCGAACGGTTCCGATTCCGATTCCGGTTCCGAAATCGACGGTTCCGATCGGTTTTTCGGAAAATCGCATAATTTTAAATTTTAAATTTTGAAGACCGGTTTTCAAAATTTAATAAATTTGTGAAAGTTATTTGTAAAAAAAATACACCTAAACCGGTTTTTTCAAAATTGAATAAAATTGTGAAAGTTATTTTGTAAAACAATACACCTTTAAAATTAAAAAATGCTTGAATTAAAATTTATTTTTTTAAAGACTTGAACTTAATTATTTTTTTTTAAAAATTCTTCAACTGAATTTATTTTTTGTGTTTAAAATAGTTTGAAACACAATTTAAAAAAAAAAATGGTTGAACTTTAATTTTAAAAAAAAAAATAAGTTGCCCTCGTATCTCTTGGGATTAGAGGAATCAAAGCCTACGAATTCTTCTACTTATAACATCCACCCTTTTTACCTATTCACTATTGCACCACCGGTTGATGTTCCCTTGAGGACCCCATCGTATAAACATATATATATCTTCATTTTTCTTTTTAGATTTTTTATGCTTTCTTAGTTCGGCCTTGCTCCAATCATCCACGCCATGATTGCTGCTTCTAATGAATCGGGTGTCAACGAGATTCGTGTTTCATCAAGTATGTTTTCATCCTTGACTAAAAGCTTGTTTCAACCGCCAACAGATGGCAGACTTGGAGCTGCTTAAAACTTGGTTTTTGCAATTAAAAAAAGTATTTGGAAAAGATTGGCGTAACGACTCTACTTAATCTAAAATTGGAAAATTAGTTATTACATATAATCTCAACCAAACTCAAAAGAAGTGGTTTAGGATAATTATCAAATTCAGAAAAAGAAACTGGATTCCCTTGTCTTTTTTGTCTTTGGTTAGTAAAAACCTTTCAGCCAACACCAACACCACTTACCCCTTTTTGTGTTTGGAAATTGTTGAAATATTAGATTGAGAAGAATTAGAAGCTAGATGAACTAAAAAATTGAACAAATTCATTATTTAATTGCCATAATATTTTGTTTAACGTCATGCCAATACTACATTTATATTAAAACATTATCTCATATATCAAGATTTAATAATTCATAATTTAAATAGTCAAATATTCACATAAAAACATCAATTTTACATCTAGGATCAATACAATAGCAACAGATAAAGGGGTTGGTATATTTTAAAATAAGATAAACCATTTTTTTTTCATTGAAAAAATACAATCTTTTAATATACAATCATTTTCAAATTCTTGGAGTCACTAATAATATTATACACAAGGTTAAAAAATAAATGAGATGTGGAGGATAATAAAACCCCACTAAATTTATAGGAGCCATCATTAAAAATTTTTAAAATTACATCTAAAACTTTGCCACAAATACAAATTTTTGTGGATATAAATTAATATCTTCAATATTATTAGTAACAAAAAAGCATAATTAATTCTTATAAGAAAAAGACTCATTTAGTAATCATATGTTGAATTCAACGAATTTGGGACATCCCTTTGAAAAAACGTTTTTGGTCTTTTATTATTTTCCTTACAAAATTTAGCCCCCAACTTTTCATCACTTGGGGATGTCCCATAAAATATGAAATAGCTTTTTTTAATGGAGAAATAAAATATTCAAGAATTTTTTAAAACCATCTTGTACACATAAATTTAAAAGCATGGCATGCATATCTTATTATGAAAAAATTTTCCACCAATATTTGGTTCACAAATATTTTTAAAAGTTCAATAATTGATTTAGGTATTAGCCAGAAGCATTTATCAAATGAAATTGGAAAACATTTTTTTTCACTTATAATTCATCTAAAATTGAAACAATTATTTCTATAAATATTATTTGCCAGTATGTTTATCATCAAAAAACATGAAATGCAATAATTCTTTTTTGAATTTCCAATCATCATCAATCCAATTGACATGTAATGGCCCATATAAGAATCTTTGCAAATGATCACTCCAAATATTCACAATGAAAC